ATAAAAGTTTTAATACTGGCCTTTACTTTGACAAGCACGTGCCAGACCTCCCATTGACAGCGGATCATACAGGAAAGAACAGATTTAGTTTGGACTGATTATCGGTCACAAGGGAGAAGATAGATGAGCAAACACCCAAATACCTTCTGGGAGATGGAATATATGAGACAAGATCCTAAATAGCAAAGCTATTTTCTGCTTCCACTGCTTTTGTTTGGGGAGATTACTGAAGCCTCGGTCTCACTGGGCAATCTCTCCAGGCTCACGCTTCTCCCTTCTTTACCCACCAGAGCAGCCAGATATCACCTGCCAGGTCCTGTCTTTCGTGAATACAACTAAGAAGACTGGTTCAGTGTACTCCTTTCTCTTTTGATGGTACAGCCAAGAGGTTCGAAGCCTTTGGCAACCTCCTTCTTGATTTACAAAGTTCCAGGTGCCAGCTGACATTGAGTTAGAAAAGTGAGTAATGGCTTTACAAGTCAAGACGCCAGTATTTCAGGAGTAGTATGGGCCATGACTTGCGGTATTTTCTCTGAACCCACTTGGAAGCCCAGTTTATCTGAGGACAACGGCAATAGCTAATCTCAGTCAGAGAAATAGTGAGAGAGTAAATAATATAAATTGTGGCATAACTTAAGATTATAAAAAACCCTCTCCTCATATGGTACGTCATTTAATCTTGACAGAAAATGAAGATATTATCTATTAATATTATCTCTTCTATAGATTCAAAGAAATAAGGGAAGAATTAGCATTTTATGCAGATTAATAGGTTTCATACTTCCCAGATTGTTCAGTGGTAAAAGAATCCCTGCCAATGCAGGAGATTCAAGAGACTCCACTTCAGTCCCTGGGTGGGGAAGATCCCCTGGAGAAGGAAATGGCAACCCACTCCAGTATTCTTGCCTGGAGAATCCCATGGAGGGAAGAGCCTGGAGGGCTACAGTCCATGGGGCTGCAAAGAGTCAGAGACAAAAAGCAAAGACACACACACACACACACACATCAAGCCAAGTGCTCTAAAAGCTTTATCTCATTTAATCCCATCAAATTCTGGATATGGTTAGATTTATTATTTGCATCTTTGAAATAAGAAAACCAAAAGTAATGCAAGGTGATCTCCCCAGAGGATAATATTATTAATAGGAAACAGATTTTAGCACAGATCTGTTTATTGCCACATTCTCTAACTCTCTTTTAAAATAATACTAATTAGACTGCAAGGAGATCAAATCAGTGAATCCTAAAGGAAATCAATCCTGAATATTCATTGAAAGGACTGATGCTGAAGCTGAAGCTCCAATCCTTTGGCCACCTGATGTGAGGAGCCAACTCATTGGAAAAGACCCTGATGATGGGAAAGATTGAAGGTAGGAGGAGAAGGGGCGTCAGAGGATGAGGTGGTTCGATGGCGTCACCAACTCAATGAACATGAATTTGAGCAAACTCTGGGAGATAGTGAATGACAGGATAATTTTTCTCCTAACATCCTATCAACTGGGGCTGGGCTGGCTGGAAAAGTAAGAAGGAAGGAGGCTAAGACGTGGGCTGTGACTTGGACGTGCAGATATGTGGGTGGAACCATGAACAGGTGTCACTCTGGGCAGATTTCTGGAGATGGTTGCATGCAACATATTTGATAGCAACTTGATGAACAAGTTGATGATATGTTGATATAATAGTTTTTACGTCTCTGGGAAGCAATGATGTCCCTTATTTAATCTGTCCACAATATGGACCCCATGACTCAGCATATCCTTCTGCTCCTGGTTAATTTCTACTTTTCAGATCTAAGCTTAAATATGATTCCCTTTAGGAAGACTTTTCAGAATTGCTTAATCAAAATTTATGTCAGAGCCCCATGTTGTACAGTCTTACAACACACTATTTTTTTAAGTATTTATTTGGCTGAGTCAGCTCTCCGTTGTGGCACTCAGGATCCTCAATCTTTGTCATGGCATGCATGCAGGATCTTTAGCCGTAGCATGTGAACCCTCAGTAGGGGCATGTGGGACCTAGTTCCCTGAATTGAATCCCAAGCCCCCTGCATTGGGAGCATGAGTCTTAGCTACTGGACCACCAAGGAAGTCCCTATTTTTTTCCAGATAACAGTTAATTATATATATATATATATATATATATATATACACACACACATATATATAAAAGCCAGATTGTTTAATCAACAGTGTCTGCCTCTCATTAGGACAGACTATCCGGCTAAGAACCAATCATCCTATTTTGATCACCCTTGTATATGGTGCTTGGCACTTAATACATAAAAATTAAATGTGAGTAACTTCAAAAAGGTAGCTAAGATGTGAGGTGGCAAATTCATGACTTTTTAAAGTCTCAATACTGGCAGACTGTACTAACGGGCCAGTGTTAGAGGAATGGCAGGGGATGTTCTGATTCTCTGAAGATGCGAAAAATAATTAGGAACTTTAGCTCTAAAAAGTTAGTATCAGTCAAAGTGTGAGCAGACCACCAAAACCATCAAACACAAAGCTATAGATTAACCTGATTTTTATCAGACTGAAGATACAGACTGCCTATTATCATATTTTTAAATCGATTTTACTGGAGTACTTTGCTTTATGATATGTTAGTCTCTGCTGTGCAGCAGAACGAATTCGCTATATTTTAGGTACATCCTCTCTCTTTCGGATTTCCTTCTCACTTAGGTCCCCACAGAGCACTGGGCAGAGCTCCTGTGCCATCCAGTAGGTTCTCTTCAGTCATCTGTTTTACCGTATCTTTTCAATGATGGTCATTTCTGTGACCTGTCCCGTGCAGCACACTTTTAAGGATGATATATGAAATAAGAGGATTTCCAGAGCGAAAATTGTGAAAAATATCAAAACTATGTCACATGATGAATAGCTAAACAAATCAGAATTAAAATGTAGGGCTGCATGATAATGGCTATTTAGTATCTGAAGTATTTCATGTAGAAATGGCCCCATCGCGTTGAACAGAATGAATGAATATGTAGAGCTTGCATAGAAGAGTCTGTCTGCTCATTATGAGAAAGGACTTTTAGAGCTATTGACCCAACAGTGGAGCAAGAGAACCAGGAGGTAATGAACGGAAATTCTACTAGATGTCCAATGTTGGATCTTTACATTTTTGGGTCGTCAAAAACACATAACATAAAATTTATTATCCTCAAGTGTACAGCACATTACAATTAACCACATACACACTGTTGTGTAAAAGATCTCCACAAAATGTTCATGTTACAGGATTAAAGTTCTATCCATTGAACAACTTGCTTTTTCTCATCACCCCTACCCCTGGTAAACACATTCTATTTATAGTTTCTAAGGGTTTGACTACTTTGGATACTATATTTAAGTGAAATCATGCTGTAATTTTCTTTTTGTGACTGGCTAATGTCGCTTAGCATAACGTCCTCAAGGTTTAACCATGTTGCAACATGACAAGATTTCACTTTTGTGAGGCTGAAAAATATTTCTTTGTATGTTTATGTCTCATTAGTTTTATCCATTCATTTGTTGGTAAACAATTAGATTGCCTCCACCTCCTAGGTATCATGAACAGTGCTGCAATGAACATAGGTGTGCAAATATTTCTTCAAGAACCAATAATCATTTGTTTTAGAAATATACCAAGAAGTGGAATTGCTGGATCATATGGAAGTTCTATGTTTAATTTTTTTGAGGAACTTCCATACTGTTTTCCATAGTGGCTACACCATTTACATTCCCACCAAAAGTGCAAAAGATTTCTAATTCCTCCACATACTTGCCAAAACTTGTTATTTTCTGCTTTTTTATAGTGGCCATCCTAATGGGTGTGAGGTAACATTTCATGTTGATTTTGTAAACCTGATGATTAGTGATGTTGAGCATCTTTTTAAAATGCCTATTGACCATGCGTGTGTCTTCATTGAAGAAATGTATATTCAAGCCTTTTGCCCACTTTTAATCGCATTGTTTGTTACTGAGTTAGGCAAGTTGTTTGTATATTCTGAGTATTAAGCCTTTATCAGACATATAGTGTGTAGATATTTTATCTGAATCCGTCGGTTGACGTTTCAGCTGGCTGTTCTCTGTGCACACAGCTCTGCTCTTTCTTAGGCAGAGCTCTGATGATGTCATTCCATCACTGCTACCCTTGCCAAACCCTTGTACATACCCTCCTACCATACCGCACCAAGTATTTAACCTTGTAAAAACTTGTGCCAATCTCCTCTTTCCATTCTCCTTTGTAGCATCTTACACTCCGTCCAGGATGAATCAGTTTCTCATGACCCTCCCATTTCTACAATTCTAAATTGTGTTTTCCATAAATTTCCTTTCCTTAATCATCCTTACATGCTTTCTCTCCCATGAAGTCTTAACTGACCCCCAAAATTGAAAATGCATTCTATCTATAAAACTTAATTATCTAATTTATACATTTCTTATGACTTTATCTACTTTCTATTACAATCTTTTTACATATATTTCACTCCATATCATGAACTTTTGAATATTGTACCCATATATCTCCAACTGAATGTCTTAGGAAGTACTGAGTATAAATATAAATGAATTAAATGATGAATAGCTTCCTCCCTCCCCTTCATAATCTTTGAACTTTAAAAGTTGTTGACAGTTTCTTGGGAGTTAACTGAAATAATCTTCGTTCCACTTCTACTGAAAACAGTTTGAAATTCCACAAACTTCCTCTGACTCTTTTCCTCAAAAAGTTCTTACACAATTTAGCCCAACTTTTGGCAGTTAGAAGCATAATTGTAGATATTTATGTGAAGAAGCTTGTTAAAAGGGGGAGGAAAAAGAGAGTAAGTCTTAATTCTTCTAGTTTCTAACTCAGTCTTAGTTAGATTACATCATGGTTCATGTAATCTAATTTTAGATTGCATCATCATGATGTAGATTACATCATACATCATGGGAGTATGAACTGATGTATTGTTAGTCTGATTCTTTCTTTGGATTAATAATTCTCAACAGAGAAAATCTGTTAACTCAATGTCCTGGGGAAACCACTCAGTGTGGATGGAATTCGTGTTCCTGGCCTATCCCTCCAGGTCAGAGCCGCGCGCCTTGGCCTTCCTTGGGGTCAGCCTGGTTTATACATGGGTCATCACCGGGAACGTCCTCATTATGGTGGCCATTCAGGCTGAAGCCCGCCTCCACACACCCATGTACTATTTCCTGGGCAGCCTCTCGGGAGTGGAGATCGGCTACACGGCTGCGGTGGTGCCCCACCTCCTGGTCAACACCCTGCGGGCAGAGAAGACCATCACCCTGCTGGGCTGGGCCACTCAGATGGGCTTCTTCATCGGACTGGGCGGTGCCGACTGCCTCCTCTTGGCCTCCATGGCCTACGACCGCCACGCTGCCATCTGCCACTCCCTGCGGTACCCTCTCATCATGCCTGGGACGCTCTGCGCCCGCTTGGTGGCGGCCTCCGTGGTCCTCGGCCTCTGCCTGTCCTTCCAGCTGGCGGCCTCTGTCTTCTCTCTGCCCTTCTGCCCAGCTCGGGGCATTCAGCACTTTTACTGCGATGTACCCCCCGTGATGCGTCTCGTTTGCGCCCAGAGCCACAGGCATGAACAATCAGTGCTGGTGGCGGCCACGCTGGCCATCGCGGGGCCTTTCCTCCTGATCGCCGCCTCCTATGCCTCCATCGCGGCCGCGGTGCTCCGGGCCCCCTCGGCCGCGGGCCGCCGCCGGGCCTTCTCCACCTGCTCGGGGCATTCAGCACTTTTACTGCGATGTGCCCCCCGTGATGCGTCTCGTTTGTGCCCAGAGCCACAGGCATGAACAATCAGTGCTGGTGGCTCCCACCTCCTGGTCAACACCCTGCGGGCAGAGAAGACCATCACCCTGCTGGGCTGCGCCACTCAGATGGCCTTCTTCATCGGACTGGGCGGTGCCGACTGCCTCCTCTTGGCCTCCATGGCCTACGACCGCCACGCTGCCATCTGCCACCCCCTGCGGTACCCTCTCATCATGCCTGGGACGCTCTGCGCCCGCTTGGTGGTGGCCTCCGTGGTCCTCGGCTTCTGCCTGTCCTTCCAGCTGGCGGCCTCTGTCTTCTCTCTGCCCTTCTGCCCAGCTCGGGGCATTCAGCACTTTTACTGCGATGTGCCCCCCGTGATGCGTCTCGTTTGTGCCCAGAGCCACAGGCATGAACAATCAGTGCTGGTGGCGGCCACACTGGCCATCGCGGGGCCTTTCCTCCTGATCGCCGCCTCCTACGCCTCCATCGCGGCCGCGGTGCTCCGGGCCCCCTCGGCCGCGGGCCGCCGCCGGGCCTTCTCCACCTGCTCGTCCCACCTGGCGGTGGTCCTGCTGCAGTACGGATGCTGCGCCTTCATGTACCTGCGGCCCACCTCCAGCTACCGCCCCGAGCAGGATCAGTTCGTCTCCCTGGTGTACACGCTGGGGACCCCATTGCTGAACCCGCTTGTCTACACCCTGAGGAACAGTGAGATGAAAGGGGCCATAGCCAGAGTCCTTACCAGGAATTGCCTCCCCCAGAAAAGCTAGTCCATGCTAAAGGAGATCAACCCTGAATATTCACTGGAAGGACTGATGTTGAAGCTGAAGCTCCAATGCTTTGGTCCCCTGATGCGAAGAGCTGACTCATTGGAAAAGACCCTGATGCTGAGAAAGATTGAGGGCAGGAGAAGGGGACGACAGAGGATGGGACGGTTGGATGGCATCATGGACTGGATGGACATGAGTTTGAGGAAACTCTGGGAGTTGGTGATGGGCAGGGAGGCCTGGCATGCTGCGGTCCATGGGGTTGCGAAGAGTCGGACACCACTGCACGGCTGAACTGAAAAACTAGGAGAGGGTCTTACCTCTCAGGCAAGGATTAGGTTCCAGCTCGTGCAGATTCCCATGCAACAGGGATTTCTCTCAGTTGATGTTAAAACTATCTTTTAAGAAGGCACAATGTTTGGACACTATTTAGCTATGTGTACCAGAGACCTTTAAAATGTTTCTGCCATTTGACTCAGTAATTTCTTTTTTTTTTTTTAAGCTTATATGGCTGTGCTGGGTCTTAGCTGCAGCACACAGGATCTTAGATCTTCATTGGGGTATGCAGGATTTTCATTTGCAGCATGCAGAATCTTTCCTTTTTTTAACTGTGCATGTGTGATCTAGTTCTCTGATCAGGGATGGAACTGGGGTCCCTGAATTGGGAGCAAGGAGTCCCAGCCACTGGACCACCAGGGAAGTCCTGACTCAGCAATTTCTATGAATGAAATATATAAGCAAATCATCATAAAATAACACAGAGTGGTACTTACAAGGCAATATCCAGGTATCAGTTGGAAGCAGATGGCCCATTCAATAGATTTTAACTGAAAAAAAAAAATGTTCTGATTATATGGAGACATATGAGTAAGGGAACCAATAATTGTAGTCAAGGCACTTACATACTAGCCAGAGCAGGAAGCCATTATCACCCCTACATCTAAAAGTCAAAAGGATGATACAGTGTTATCTGAGCCCAATAAGAACAAGATTTGTGGAACTGTGGTCTCAGGGGAAAAGCCTATTATAGAGTAAAGGCCATGCCAGGAAAGAGCAGGGAGATAAATACTTAACCCTCTGGCTGCCTGGGCCCTCCCACCTCTTGCCTTTTCTCCCATTGGCTGATCCATCTGGAAGCAGGAAGGCAGAGAGACTGAGTGATTCAGTCCACAGAAGTTAAACTTTGGGGACAGACTGGCGCACAGAAGGACCTTGAGAATTGGGGCCAAAAGATAATAATCAGAACAGAAGTTGGTTGTTAGCATATTAGAAATAACAGTGAAGATACATTAACAATTCAGCTTCCCCATAATAAAGGACTGGTTAAACAATTACTTATGAGATAATATTATGTGGCCTTGAAATATGTTTTCAAGTGCTAGTTGTTAGTAACGGCTAACATTAAGTGCTTTCTGTCTACCAGAATCTGTGCTAGGGGATGCTCTCTCTCTCCCTTCCCTTCTGCCTCTCCCTACCCCTCTCCATCTCAATCTACCTATCTATCCGTAAAAGTCGGCAGATGGAGGAGGTGCTGGACTTGTGTCCTCAAGAACCATCTTAATTTGGGTAGAATTTAAATGTCTTTCCTCATTTTCCAAGGATAAAACTGAATCAAAGAGATTAAATAACTGGTAGATGTCAGACAACTCATGAGTGGCAGAGTTGGGATTTGAACCCAGATTCCAACTTCAGAGGCGATCTTAACACTTACAATTGGCGGAAGCTGTGAAACTGCTTCTACAACATGATCCAATATTTGAAAAACACGCCATGGACACATTTTAGGAAAAAGTGGGCACAAATGTACCAAAATGTTAACTATGGTCATCTCCAGTTTGAGGGATAATGGATATCTTCATTATATTCACTCTCCATCTTTATCTTTTTCTACACTTTCTATATTACAAACCTATTATTTTTAATTCAGAAAAAAATAACTGTTGGAAAGCATTTTCATAAAGAATCTGATGTTTATGCATTAGCTTGAACCATGTGAAATTACTACCATTTGACCACTTGTGATCTACAAGACAGTGATATCACATGTTGCAAACTAATGTATTTATTTAGCTTAAATCTTCCATTCCTGCAAGAATGCTCTTCTATCTTTTATATATCCCTGTATTGATAGTTTTATCTTTAATGTTTCCTTTTTTCTCTTCAAAGCCTTGATGATTTCCTAAAATTAGAATAGTTATTTTAATATAATGTGACATAGAAATAGTGAGAAGGACTTTATATTTTGTAAAGTGTAAGGCATTCTCCTCCTATCCTCTCAAGATATCATGCATCAATTTCATCTGCAACATTTTTCTGGGTGTTGAGAAGAATGTAAAAAGGTAGGGGGAGGGAAGCAGGGAAGGAAGGAGAAGATAAGGTTTTCAATTACATTTCAATGTGACATTTGATGTCATGAATCATATTTCTCATTAACTTATAACTCAAAACAGGTAAGTCAAGAAAGAAAGGATGAATTATAAGGCCAGTGGAGAAAGGTCATTGAAGGATTGATTCCAAATTATTGAGTAGCTCCAGTCCCCCATCATCCAGACATATAATAAAGGATGAGGTTTGCTTGCTTAACAAAAATCACTTGGCAAACTCACGTGTCTAATTAACAAGAGTCTTTTCATAGAATCATTAGCCATCAAAAGTACATAGTACAATAGAATCATAGAAGAAAGCATACCCATGTCTGCCTGGAGGTATTTTTTTATATTAGGTCCTCATAAAGCCTATATTTTATCAATCATCATAGGTGCCCTATGATTCTTTTTCTTTGGATAAACTAGACACCTACAATCATAAATGTCTGAAAAGCACTTCCTCTGTCTAGAGATGGGGCCATAAACACATAACTAACGGGCTCTCTGACTGTATATCAGTGCCTCCTGGCTCTAAATTCTGCTTCTTATTATTTTCCCTGTCCCAAGTCTTCTGGTGTGTGTATCATTGACTCTTATCTAAACTACTGTACCTTGTGAAGCTTCCCAGGCGGCACTAGTGGTAAAGAAGCTGCCTGCCAGTGCAGGAGACATAAGAGACACGAGTTCAATCCCTGGGTCAAGAAGATGCCCTAGAGGAGGGCCTGGCAGCCCACTCCAGTCTTCTTGCCTGGAGAATCCCATGACAGAGGAGCCTGGTGGGCTACAGTCCATGGGGTCAGAGTGGGACACGACTGAAGCGACTCAGCAGGCATGCACGCGAAGCTTATTTGGACTGACTTTCTAAACTAGTCTTGATGAGGCTTTACCTCAATTGTCTCTTTAGTGATTATCCGTGGGTCTTTATCTGTGCTTCTGTCACTCCTTTCCTCTGTGCTTCACTCTCAAATCGCAGCAGTTTTACACCCAAATCCCGTCAGTCTGGAAGGGAATACTCAATGAGAAGTATAGCCAGTGCCTTGAGGTAACTAAAGAATAAACTTTTCGTCTATCTCGGCATCAAAATCACATTCTCTTAATCACTGTGGATTCACAGTAACACCTAATATAAAGTAGAGCAAGCCAGCTCATCAGGTTTTTCTTCAAGAATGTATGAGCTATTCTTGGTCCTTCAGAAATCCTTAAGATTTTAAGATCAAGTTGCCAAGGACCTGCCTCTCTCTGTCTTTCTCTCACTCACACACACATGCACACACCCACATACACACATACATACACACACTCCTGGAATTGTTATTCAGATTGTGATGCATCTGCAAATCAATTTCAGAAGTCATATCTTTAAAAATAGTATATTATGATCCATGACCATAGCATAGTTTTTCATTTACTCAGATTTTAACCACTATCTTTCAGTGAAGTTACATACTTTTGCAGACAGAAGTCTTGCATTTCTATTATTTTGGGTTAATGGTCCTTTACTGGGATATAGCATCTTTACCATAAAATGCACACATTTAAAACTGCAGAGCTCAATGAACTGTGATAATTATATCCAGCTGTGTAAACTTGGCTCAGCCCAAGATAATACAGAAAGTTGCTTTGTGCTTCTTTCTAGTCAATTCTCTACTTCAGAGGCAACCACTATTTATAACCTTCTTCTCATGGAATAGTTTTACCAGTCTTGAACTTCGTAATTTGGAGTAAATAATGCAACGGCTATCAAGCTCTTGCCTCTCAGCTCCAAATTCACTTTTTTCTACTCTGCTTCATGACATACCACGGCTGCTTTGCTAACTGGCCTGATATGGAGCGTCCTCTGTAGAGAGTTTCATTAGAGTCACGTCGGGAAGAAGCAGCATCCTTCCTGGTTCTGGCAGGCCGTGTCTGACTCGGAGTGACCCCCCTGGACTGTAAGCCGCTAGGCTTTTCTTCCCATGAGATTTTCCCAGCAAGAATATTGGAGTGGGTTGCCCTGTCCTCTTCCGGGGGATCTTCTCGACCCAGAGAGTGGACCTGATGCATCTCCTGCACCGGCAAGTGGATTCGCTACCACTGAGTCACCAGGGAAGCCCTCTGGTGGGCTTTTCTGTTCCATCCCCACAAGTCAAGGCCCCAGGATTGTGTGGGACACCCATAGACAGCCCTGTTCCAGTGGCTCTTGCCAGAAGTCTAAAGGATGGTTTAGCACTGAGTTTTCCCCCAGCATTCCAGCTGGTTTCCTAGCAAGTATCAGCAGTGCCTCAGTGGACAGCTTCCCAGAGAGTTTCCCTGCATTTCAAGGAGTATGCCTCTGTGACTTCAGCAAACTTCTCAAGCTTTCTAGAAGGCTACAATCATATCCTCTCCAGGTAGGTCAGAATCTCAGCCTTGGGGGTGGGGGGATGCCTTCCTAAATTTGTTTCTTCTTTGATTCTTTTTGTTCCAGTGATGTGGGCCTTTTGGCATCCACATAAGGGGAGTTTTAATTGGGTGTATAATGCGTGGAGTTTTTAAATTTTTACTGGTGTTTAGTTCCTCCACAATGTTGTGTTAGTTTCTACTGGACAGCAAAGCAAATCAGCCGCACAGACCCCTCAGCCACTGCCCCTAACCTGGTGAGTCCCGGGGTTCTGAGTC